AGGTACCCGAGGTAGTCTTTGTACCCCGTGTTTTGGGTATAAATCCACCCGAGGTAGCACCACTGACGACCAAACCGAGAGAACCATTCCGACTCTCGAAGACATGCTAAGAGCCTGTGTGTTAGACTTTCAAGGGACATGGGAAGAACACCTAGACCTCATTGAATTCTCATACAACAACAGCTACCACTCAAGCATTCGCATGGCACCCTACGAAACCCTATACGGACAAAAATGTAGAACCCCCTTATGTTGGGAAGACTTGGTCGAACCAATGACACTAGGGCCCCAATACCTACAAGACACCATAGCAAAGGTCAAACACATCCATGAAAGGATGAAGGCGGCTCAGGACCGCCAGAAATCCTACGCCGACCTAAAGAGAAAACAAGCCGAATTCAACCCTGGAGACAAGGTCTGGTTGAGAATCTCACCCACACGAGGGGTAATGAGATTTGCCAGAAAGGGAAAACTCAGCCCTCGATTTATCGGCCCCTACGAAATCGTGGAAAGAGTCGGGAACCTGGCCTACCGCCTCGCTTTACCCATTGAACTAGAACGGGTACACAACGTATTCCACATATCCCAGTTAAAGAAATACGTGCACGACCCAAGCCACGTACTACAACCCGAGACCGTGGACCTCGACGAGTCACTAGTATACGAAGAAAGACCCGTAAGAATCCTAAACACCAGGACAAGAACCACCCGACGTCGAGCCATAGAAATGGTCAAAGTCCTCTGGACCAATCATGGGACCGAAGAAGCAACATGGGAACTCAAGGGCACAATGAGGGAACGCTACCCCGGACTCTTCACACCAGGTAACCAAGAAGAAGTCGCACGGCAAGGACCAAGCTTCGGGGACGAAGCTTCCTGTTAAGGGGGGGAGAGTGTATCACCCCGTGTTACGGCCCCTAAAACCAATTAATCATTAACCAATTATCCAAAAGAAAGAATTAAATTATAATAATTAATTAAGAAAAGGCCCACCATAGTCCGTGGGCCCTCACCTTTAAAATCCAGCCCCAGCCCAAAAAGGAAGAGAGTTAGCAACCTATAGTACCTAGACCCAAATTAGGACTCTTGGGTATATAAATAGGGAACGTGAAAGGCACCTAGAACTCCCCCACCACAATAATCTCTCACCACACCAAGAATTCCAAGAATTCCCCTAGGAGAAATCAAGAAAGAAGAAAGCTTAAAGGAAGACCCTTCATAGCCAAGGAATTAATTAAGGCTAAGAGGTAACTAATGTCTCAACAAAACCTATTTTCATAGCTATGATTCCCCTCTTAGGATTTCCCCCATATTCTTGTGTGTTGATGATTCGTTATATTGATCTTGGTAATTGGTGTATGAATCCATGGGTAATCTTGATGATCTTGGTGATAAGAGGTTCTTGATGATTATATGGTATTCTTGATGTTCTTGATGATTATATGATGTTCTTGGTGTTTATGTGATATTCCTACCGAATCTTGATATTAGAAGATGAATTGTGTTCTTGTTGATTTAAAAGTAATTAGAACTCTAGGATGTATCGTAGAACTCGTATGGAATTATTCTTGGTATGTTGGGCGGGAATTCGTATGTTTGGGTGTTGATTATTTTTAGAAAAGCATGATACGTTATGTGTCATATGTTCTTGCTTTTTGATCCGTTAATTGTCTACGTGTTGTTGTCAATTGCGTTTGAAAGTATCTAGGCATGGTTTCGGGTTCCACAATGGTTCCCGGGGCGTTTGCTGTGATAAAAGAGTCAGTAGGGGATAGGTGGGGGTAGGGGACCCGCCACCTACCCGCGGCCAATATGGGCAACACCGGCAGCGGGCAGCTGCCCGCCGGGCACCCGCTGCCCAGAATCACGCAGCCGGCGGGTGAACCCTCACCCACCTGCTACCCGCTGGAAAATACCCCACATCGGGATTCCAGCTTCCCCGTTTGATGTTCCCCCGACCCCCGTGGTGTCCCAACGGACTCCGTCTATCGTGCCTATGTCTAGTTTGATATTTCGGGTACCGTTCGTAGGTTGTATGAGTCTTAAATATCGCATGCTAGTTGAATTGGTATCCCGTTGACCTAGGTAAGAGAAGTATGCACCCCTTAGGATTATTCTTAGTATGTGAAGGATCACGCATAGGTTTTGTTATACGTTTTCTCCCCCTTCCCAATGTGTTAATGTGGGTTGCATGTGCTTGCTATGTGATATGTGTGCATGATACCCCAATCCGGTTGTGATCGGATTAGTTATTCCTGTGCTGCGGTTCAGAAGCTGGCTGCGGTCAGACTTACACTCTCGGGCTGCGGTCCACCATTTGGTTGTGATCAATCATTTTACATGAGCTGCGGTTCATATTTCCTGGCTGCGGTCAGATGACATACTCTTGGGCTGCGGTCCACTGTTTGGTTGCAATCAAACTATGATGAGCTGCGGTTCATCGGTCAGTTGTGATCGACCCCTCCGTGTTGCGATACGGGGCAGGGTGCTGCGGGGCCGTGTCAGAGCTATATGCGCTGACCCTCATGTATGGGCATGCGATTGGTCCTGTGGCGCCAACAAAGTGTGCTTATGTAATGAGAAGTGGATAAGATGTTGTTATGTGTGTTTTAACAACGTGATTATAGGATTTATGCTAGCAACTGTATATGCTTGGTTATGTGCTTATTTCTATCTATCGTGCCTGCGCTCTATACTGGAAAACTGTATATGCTTGGTATAACTGTTGACTGTGTTTATCCCTATCTGTCGAGTGTATTCCCTATTTTGAAAGCTAGAGTCTCTTAGGATATCTTCATGCTTCGAAATGGTTTTCGTATGTCTATGTATATGTCTATATGTATCGTATTTCAACGCGTTGGAGTGGGTTACCAGCATCTCTCGCTGAACAGATATATTTGGCTTTCAGGCACAGAAGAGTAGACACTGGAGCGCGCTAGAACCTTGGAGCGTAGAAGTAGTTAATTTCCCTTTCGCCCTGCGTGCCATGATTATGTAGTTACATTATTGAGGATATTAGTTAGTTAGCCTGTGCACCTGAGTTCTCTAGCTCAGGTGATGCATAGCACCCCTTACTCTTCGTATTATGTTTTAGGAATAAATGAGATTTCACCTTTATTATATAAGCTTCAAAAGTTTCAAAATTTCGGGGTGTTATACTTGATGCCTGGCGCTGCCCCGATCTCGAAACCACCCTACAGACTGGCGCCAAAAGAAATGAAGGAACTGAAAGCACAACTTCAGGAGTTACTAGACAAAGGATACATCCGTCCCAGCACCTCACCATGGGGAGCACCAGTACTATTCGTTAAGAAGAAAGATGGGAGCATGCGTCTATGCATCGACTACAGGGAACTGAAACAAGTTACAATAAAGAATAAGTATTCTCTTCCCTGAATTGATGACTTGTTCGACCAACTTAAAGGAGTAGGGCTGTTCTCAAAAATTGATTTAAGATCCGGGTACCATCAGATAAAAGTGGCCGACCCAGATATTTAGAAAATAACTTTTCGAACCCGCTACGGCCACTACGAATTCACGGTAATGCCCTTCGGACTCACCAATGCGCCCGCTATATTCATGGACCTCATGAACCGAGTATTCCGGCCCCACCTAGATGACTTCGTCATCGTGTTCATCGACGACATCCTGGTATACTCCCGAAACAAGGAGGAACATGAAAAGCACCTCCGCAGAACCTTGCAAACCCTGAGGGAACACCAGCTATACGCCAAATTCTCCAAATGCGAATTTTGGAAGGACAACGTGGACTTCTAGGGTCACGTGATAACCAAAGAAGGGATCAGGGTGGACCCAACCAAAATCCACACCGTCATAGAATGGCCCACACCGAAATCACTTTCGGATGTCAGAAACTTCCTAGGGTTAGCAGGCTATTATAGGAGGTTCGTACCGAATTTTACCAAGATAGCTCAACCCCTCACTAAACTCATGAAAAAGGAAACCCCCTTTCGATGGGAAGACAACTGCACCTCAGCCTTTCAAGAATTGAAAGAAAAGTTGACCACAGCACCCGTCCTAGCCCTTCCCTCTGGAATGGAAGGATTCGAAGTTTTCAGTGACGCCTCCAAAAAGGGACTGGGTTGCGTACTAATGCAAAGAGCCAAAGTAATAGAATATGCATCCAGGCAACTCAAAACCCACCAAGAAAACTACCCCACACACGACCTCGAGCTAGCTGCCATCGTCTTCGCCTTGAAAATTTGGAGACATTACCTAAACGGAATTTCCGTCGCTAAATAGTAAAAATCCGTCGCTAAAGTATTTAGCGACGGATTAGCGACGGAATTCGTCCGTCACAAAAACCCTCCTCGCTAAAAGTTAGCGAGACAATTTATTTTCCGTCACTAGGCTTAGCGACGGAAATTTCCGTCGCTAGCCGAAATATATCCGTCGCTAAACTCCTTACGACGACAGATCCGAAGAGGACTATTGCGAGCAAATACCAACAGAATAGCCCGTCGCCATAATTAGCGACGGAAATTCCGTCGTGAAAGCAACAACAATTCCGTCGTTAAATTGCTACTACTATGCTCCGGCGACGAGATTTACAACGACTTAGCTACGGATTTTTCCGTCGCTAAATATAGCGACGGACGTGACCGTCGCTACCGTCCGTCGTTATATTAACGACGGAAATTATCCGTCGCTATTCTTTTATTATTATTTGAATTGAATTTAATTTAACTACAACTTAGTGACAGAAATATCCGTCGCTAAATTTAACTACGGATTTTTCAGTTGCTATTTCGTTACATTACTACCAAATTTGTCCGTCCCTAAATTTTGAAAATTAATAAAACAATTATGCCCGTAATTAATATTAGAAACATGCATTAAACCTATAATATAGTACTTGAATAATATAATTATAAAATATACTATATTAAAAAGCATTCAAAGTGAATAGCAACAACAAAAGTGTTGTATTATAATGATACATCATTAGAACCAGTACCAAATATATTAATAAACATAATCTAATCATCTCCTAAGGTTTCATCATTTGAATTAGCCGAATGTTGAGCTTGAGTACTTGGATTGGATAACATGCCATTGCGACGCAACTCATCCATCAAACTTGCAATTTGAGCTTGCATTTGAACCTGCATTTGAGTTCTTTCAGCTTGTAGTTTAGCTTCCATCTCAACTCGCATGGTATCTAACTGTTGGTTCACCATATCCTTCATTGCCTCTTGTTGAAATTGTGAAGTAGCAGATGAACTACAACTATTCCTGCTGATAAATGTAGATAATGACTTGGACCCTAAGCCATAGATACGCTGTTTTTTTACCCCACCAACAACATCCACATACATCTGTGACATGTCTATAACTGGTAGCTCAGTTGACCCTTCCGCCTCTTGCATTGTAGCATCACGTCGTATTTGTATTTCGTCCTACAATTAAAAACATATACAAAATAAGACAAATATATAAAGGCATATTTGAATTTTATCAATTTAACAATATACGGTTGTTAGGTTATACTTACAGCGATTCTCTTTGACCTCTCATCAACGAACGTACCATCTTTCTTTTGGTCCGTATGCTTAAAGCACTCAAACAGATCAGGCTCTTTTTGAAGTGTTTCCCGCTATTAAACAAGCACAAAGAATTAAATGATGCTTAAATCCGTAAAATATATACAAATAATAAATTTTTATGTTAAATGTATTACCAGTGTGTGAAAGTGCTTAATAGATGATCTAGATCCTCCGGTATGTCGAGAACATCCCGTACCAGGTCCTGCTACCTCACTCATCCTATTTTTGCGTTGTTGTTCAGATTTAGCTTTCACTTCAGGCCTATCCTAGTATGCCTCCCAAATGCGCCATGTATCTTCATGTACAAAATCTGGCTTCCAAGATGAAGTCTGATTCTTCTTGGTCCTGGAGACCATATCTGTATAGCTAAGATGCATTGGACAAAGTTACTAACATAAATTAAATAACATTCTAGCTTCAAGCTTCAAGAATGAACCACACTATTTTCAAAAACATATCGTGAATTTACCTTAAATTCTTCAAAGTATGATTCCTTGTATTCATTAGACACATTCTTCTAAGTATACCCGTCAGGGTAGATCCATTGCTTCAATATTTTTGTAATTGTAGCTGAACATGTGTTAGAAGGCATTAACCTATACATATATAAAAGATTAATAAAGATAAAAAAAAATAATATACACATAAATGTAAATATAATAACACATTTTTACCTCCTAACCTCTACATGAACAATAGGCAAATCACAAGCAGTAGATGGTCCTGCAACTGATGAAGATGTGGGTGGAGTAGTAGTGTCTGAAGGTGGTGGAATCGGCAAGTCAGGTGGTGAACCAATAGAAGCAGGTGACACAATAGCTGGAGATACTATAGCAGGAGGAGGTGCCACAAGAGAAAGAAGTGCAGACGATAATGGGCTAGAACTCGGAACTGTAACCGATGCACCGCGTCCACGTCCTCTTATGCGTCCAGCTCTACTACCACCTCGTGTCATCTAAAATAAAATAAAATTAAATATTATAAAATTAAATAACATATAAATATAACATGTCCATTTACTATGTAATAATAAAATATTATAAAATTAAATTGTAACACCCCGTGTTACGACCCCTAAGATCAATTAAATCATTTAATCAATTACCCAAAAGAAAGAATTAAATCACAATAATTAATTAGGAAGGCCCACCATAGTCCACGGGCCCTTATCTCTAAACCCAATCCTTAGTCCCAAAAGAAATAGAACTAGCAAGCCCATAATATTAGTTCCTAACTAGGACACCTAAATATATAAATAGGGGACTTAAGGGGCACCTAGAAACCCCCGACCACAAGAATAACGCCCACCACCCCAAAGAGCTCCAAGAATCCCCCTAGAAGAAATCAAGAAAGCAAGAAAGCTTAAAGAAAGACCCTTCATAGCCAAGGAATTAATTAAGGCTAAGAGGTAACCCATGTCTCAACAAAACCTATTTTCATAGCTATGATTTCCCCCGTAGGGTTTCCCCATATTATTGTGTATTGATGATTTGCGATATTATTATTGATGATTGATGGGATAATTCCATGGGTGATCTTGATATTGGGAGATTCTTGATAATTATGATGTTCTTGATGATTATGTGGAGTTCTTGATGTTTATATGTCATTCTTAATAATTGTATATGCTTATGTGTTATTTGCACCGAATCTTGTAATTGGAGGAGGAATCGTATTCTTGTGGGTATAAAAGTGATTAGAACCCTAGGTTGTATCGTATGATATCATTCTTGGTGTATCGGGTGGGAAATTGCATGTTTGGGGTGTCGATTATATTAGAAAAGCATGATAGGTTATGTGCCGTACGTTTCTCGTATTTGATCCGTTAATTGACTACGTGTTGATCGTTAATTGCGTTGTAAAGTGTCTAAGCATGGTTTCGGGTTCCACAATGGTTCCCGGGGCGTTTTTGTGATGAAAAGAGTCAGTGGGGGGTAGGGGACCCGCCACCTACCCGCGGCCAAGTCGGGCAGTCCCGGCAGCGGGCAGCCGGCGGGCGGGCAGCTGCCCGCCGGGCATACCCCAACCCGGGATTTCGGCTTCCCCGTTTGATGTTTCCCCGACCCCCGTGGTGTCCCAACGGACTCCGTCTATCGTGCCTATGTCTAGTTTGGTATTTCGGGTACCGTTCGTAGGTTGTATGAGTCTTATATATTGCATGCTAGTTGAATTGGTATCCCGTTGACCTAGCTGAAAGGAGTATGAACCCCTTAGGACTATTCTTAGCATGTGAAGGATCACGCATAGGTTTTGTTATACGTTTCCTCCCATTCCCAATGTGTTAATGTGGGTTGCATGTGCTTGCTACGTGTTATGTGTGCGTGTCACCCCGAATTGGTTGAGATCAATCGGGCTATACGGGTAGTCGGGTGGGCTGAGAACTATACCGGCTGTTAACCAGGCTGGTAGAGACCGGTCAGGTATATAAATATTATATAGGACTAAGTTCCACTATACGGGCAGTCGGATGGGCTGAGAACCATACCGGCTGTTAACCAGGCTGGTAAAGACCGGTCAGGTATATAAATATTATATAGGACAAAGGTCCACTATACGGGCAGTTGAATGGGTTGAGAACCATCCTAACTGTTAACCAGGCTGGTAAAGACCGGTCAGGTATATAAATATTATATAGGACAAAGGTCCACTATACGGGCAGTTGAATGGGTTGAGAACCATCCCAACTGTTAACCAGGCTGGTAGAGACCGGTCAGGTATATAAATATTATATAGAACTGCGGTTCAATAGTCGGTTGCGATCGGCTCCTCTGTAATGTGAGACGGGGCAGGGTGCTGCGCGGCCGTGTCAGAGCTATATGCGCTGACCCTCATGTATGGGCATGCGATTGGTCCTGTGGCGCCAACAAAGTGTGCTATGTGAATGGGATATGGATGAGTGTGTTTATGATTATATTGGGGGATGTGACTATGGGATCTATGCTGGGGATTGTTTACATTGGGTTATAATTATTAATTGTGCTCAGCTTTATCTGTCTTGCCTGTGGAGGATTGTATACGCCTGTTATAACTGTTGCTTGTGTCTAGCCTTATCTGTCGAATCATTCCCGGTTTTAAAAGCTAGAGTCTCGTAGGATATATCTTCATGCTTCAAAATGGTTTTTGTATATCTATCAATATCTCTATATGTAATGTATTTCAACACGTTGGAGTGGGTTACCAGCATCTCTCGCTGAACAGATATATGTGGCTTTCAGGCACAGAAGAGTAAGTCACTGGAGCGCGCTAGAACTTGGAACATAGAAGTAGTTAGTTTCCCCTTCGGCCTGCGTGCCATGTTCACACATTTACATTATTGAGGCATTAGTTAGTTAGCCTGTGCACCTGAGTTCTCTAACTCAGGTGTGACATAGCACCCCGTACTCTTGTATTCTGTTTTTGGGATTTAATAAGATTTCACCTTTCTTTCATAAGTTTTAAATATCCTGAAAATCTGGGGTGTTACATAAATAACATATAAATATAACATGTCCATTTACTATGTAAACTATGTAGTAACTATCAATACCGTTATCACTATCTCCTATTACTGAACCTCCACTTGAGTCATCTATTTCTTCCTCTAACTCAAGTTCATCTTCGATGTCACCATGTTCGCCATCAAATTCTACCACCCCACCATTTCGGTCATTTAAACACAAAGGATCTTCATCTATTTGCATGAGATCATGATTATCGGTAGTTTCCTCTTGAAATGGTGCAGGTATTTGTGATTCTTCAGTAGATGTAGATGATTCAGCAACTACTATTTCAGATATTGCTTTAATTTTGCAAACAGCCCACCAATCAAGTTTGTCCCAACGCAAACTTGGCTATGTACAATAATAAACTTGAGCGGCTTGCATTGCTAGAACGAATGGTTCATAGCGATTAAATCTACGCTTATGATTAACTTCAACAAGTTTATACTCAGAATGAACCTTCATGCCCACACTTGTTGGGTCAAACCACTCACACTTAAATAATATTGTCCTCTTGATTGGTAAGCCAGGGTACTCTACTTGTAGAATTTCTACCAATCGACCATAATAATCACTTTCATCTACACTATAGTTTGTACCTTTTATACAAACTCCACTATTCATTGTTTCTTTAGCTCTACCATAACAAATGGTGTGAAATTTAAAGCCATTCACATAATACCCTGAATAGGTATTAACGCATCTTAGTGGCCCTTTTGCAAGATCCTTTATAAATTTGTTTGAAATGTTATTTGAAGGATCATGTGCCTGTATAATACATAATATAAGTGTTAAAGTTTATTAAATAATTTGAAGTTTAATATACATAATATATATACAAGTCTTACATAGTCATTGAACCAATTTGCAAATTCATTTTCCAATTTACCATCAATGGTAGTACTGGAAATGTTTGGTTGACTCCTCTTTAACTCGTCAATATAAACCCTTAAAAAAAATAAGTGGGTTAACATTTATAACACATTGCATAAGAAAATTGAACAGAAGTGAATTCTTACTCCATAAATGACTGCACTTCTGAACAATTTAATAACACATAGGTTTAAGCAGCTTTATATTCTTCTTCTGTCATATATCTCGCTTTTGCTTTACCAAATGCTCGACCCAGATACTTCAATATAGAAAGAGTTTCTTCATGTTCGTCACCTACATATTCACTACTATCTGTATTTCGAGGCACGTTTCTGTGCTTCGTGCTAACATGGTCCTCAAAATAGTATGAACAGAACAGAACGATGATGCTTCTTCCACCAAATATGCATTGGATATAGAGCCCTTGACTTTCGCTTTATTTTTGACATTATTTTTCAATTTTGGAAGGTATCTAAACACAATTGACATATATTAGTGACATTGTTATTATATGTTTGGAAACATATAAAACAACTAATACAAATTATACCTCTCAAATGGATACATCCACCTATATTGAACTGGACCAGCAATCTTTGCTTCAAAAGCTAAGTGGATTGGTAAATGCTCCATAGAGTCGAAGAAACTAGGTGGAAATATACGTTCAAGTTTACATAGAATGAGAGGTATGTCATTCTCAAGCTTCGTCATTTCCTCAACTGCAATTGTAGTGGAAGTAAAGTTCTTAAAGAATAAACTCAACTCCATAAGAACTTTCCAATAGCGGGAGCAACTCACGAAATGAAATTGGTATTAACCTCTGCATAAACACATGACAGTCGTGGCTTTTCATACCAAACAACTTC